ACATAAGTAGTAACGTGGAAAATCAATTACGTGGATTCCGCATGGCTTGTCGAAGTCCATGTATCATGCTTACATGGATCTTACGTGACTTGCTAGGATCCTACGTGGCTTTGTAAAGTCCACGTGATATACTTCGTTATCTGCCATGTCGACATTGATTGGAATTTTAGTCGGAAGTAAGATCGGTGCTAGTATTATTATCGGATGCTTAGTTGATGACCCTTTTTATACAATTTTTAAAGAACGAGCTAAAATTATTAAAACATGTATAGTTCATGATTTTCTAGAACATTAAGCCTTTTATATATCAATTAAATATATATTTGTGTATAAGTGTATAGTAAATTGATCCTACGTGACTTGTTAAAGTTCACGTGACATGTTTCGTCACTTGTCACGTCGGTGTTGATCGAAATTTTGATCAAAAAATAAGATCGGTACTAGTATTGTTATCGGATGCTTAATTGGTGACCCTTTTATATAATTTTTAAAGAACGAACTAAAATCATTAAAACACATATAATTTGTGATTTTCTAGAACATCAAACCTTTTATATGTTAATCAAATATATATTTTTGTATAAGTGTATTGTAAATTGATTTTGAAATATGTTTTGTGGATTGATTTTTGAGAAACAATCTAAAGGATTGTGATTAATTACTTTTAAAAGATTAAGGGGAAGAACTTGTATTTATGATAAGTTTTCCAATTAAGATGGACTTAATTTTAAATTAAATGAACTTTTGTTTTAAAAATTAATTATTTTAGACAATAAAAGTTATGATGATTCGTGTCTTGTATTTATTACACTTCGAATATGAGACATTATTTATAATATTATCGACCTACTTTAAAGCGTAAGTCGGGGATGTTACATTACATCTATCTTTAAATCAATTGTACGGATAAAACTAAGTTAGATATAGGACTCCAAATTTAATGAGAGGAGTGGCTTTGTAGAATGCTTTTCCAATTTGAGATGGGTAAAATATCACTACTTCTTACCTGCAGTTAATTGTAAATGTCTTTTCCTCGAACTAAAATTAACCAGAACAAAAAGCTCCTTGAACCCCCCTCCCTGCAGATTTGATAAAAAAACGAAAAGGAAGGAGACAAAACTACTAGCGAGTTGACACTTAACCTATTCTAGTTCCAATCCAACCTCACCGCTCTCGCGTGCAAATTAAAACATAACCAATGTACAGATATGCAGTAAAACATCACGCGCAGGGAAAAATTATTTGTTCTTTTCTTCTTCCCAGGATGCGTATTTGACGAATCAATGATTCCATTTAATTAAATTAAGGATTATATATATTAGTTTGAGTCGCGGTGTAATTATATTTTCTACTTCTAGTACCCCAACTTTAATTTGAAAGTGTATTTGTTACCCAGCGGTGTCTCTGAGGCACATTAGAGTGATTAAACTTCAGAGATGTTCGGAGTAAAAAAAGAAGACCCTAGTTCTCCACCGCACTGAACTAAAAAGAAAAATGACAAAAATGACTGCCAAATTTACACACCGCTGCTCCCGGCTCCGAGATTCATCAGATACAGTTTACAAAGGCAACTTATGGTACATCCTGTAGACTCCTTTGGTCAAATTCTTCATTTGCTTGTGTGGAGTAAATTCTAAATTAATCTCTCTGGTTTTTAAAATAAATTAAATAACTCCTTTAGTTTCCACAACTGATTAATTGATTGTTATATTTTTAAATTTATTTAAAACTTAATTCTTTTTATTTTTAATTTTTCTTATCGTAATGAATAAATAAAATGAAAAAAGTAAAATATAAAAAAATATTGATGAAAATATAAGATTTTTTTGAAATAAAACAATATTAAATTGACAATAATCAACACTAATCAAGAGATTGATTACTTAGTTTTTGAAAAAGAAAATAAGGGATAATTAAAAGAGAAATCCTCTAAAAATATATTTTATCTAAAACCCCACCAATTTATTTTTAAATTTCTTAAACCCAAAACAATATTTTTCTTACCAAAACACCGAATAGCCAACGTCCAACTTAATACTAATTAACTATTAGGTGTTAAGTGTTTTGGTAAGATAATCTTTTTTTTGTTTTAAGGTTTGAGAGATTTAAAAAATAAATCAATAGATTTTTTAGATGACGTTTTGGTAAGAAAAATATTATTTTGAGTTTAATTTTTTAAAAAATAAATTAATAAATTTTTTAGATAAAAAGATTTTTCTAATAATTATCTCTAATTTATAATGTGTTCGTTTGTGTGTGACTCTGCCATGAATATAAGTTAAAACATTTTTGTTCTCTTATAAACAATGATATATAAGCTAATTCAATTGTTGTTTAGATAAATCGAAAAAGTTTTCCATTCGAGCTCGTGAATGCATTAGATAATAAAATCACACGAAACAAAGTCAAGGTAAAAATTAAGCATCTTGAGTCACAAAGATTCGGTCATGCTATAATTAAAGTGGAATTGGATTTCATTTGGTATGATTTTTGTAAATTAATTTAAGCTATTTTTAAATTTTTGACTCGAATAAAAGTCATAAATGTACTTAATTACAAATGAATTTTTTTAAAAAAGTAAAAAAATTGGATCAAAATTTTGTTTTAATAAAAAATTTAAAAAATTTACTTTAAACTTGTGAATTCTAAATTATATTAAAAAAGTGTTCACAGCCATCTTATGTCAAACATACTTTGAATTTAATTGATTTTTATCACAAATTATTTATAAAAAATAACTCTTAAATTATAATTCGAAATCAAAAATTATTTTCCATAAATGATGCCAGACCAATTCTAAAAGTGAAGAGCAATTGTTTTCACATAAAAAAAAAAAATCTAAAAATTAATGCGCGAGAGAAGAATACGGTGAGGATAGAAAGGCGGAATAGAAAGGCGGGCAAGGTCTTATAATGGGAAACGTGCAAATGGTCGCAGGGGAACGTATCATGGGACGAAAAGAAGGAAGATCCATCCTCTAGTTTTTAAAATCCTTCGCACGGACGTACCAAAGTACCCTCTCATTTTTCCTATCATCCAGGTCCAATTATTGTAATTTGTTCAGCATTTCAGTGTTGGTGCTCTATATATGAAATTTTTATGCATACGGTATTAATACAACACTTACGCATGATAGGTACAGTTTTTTTTTTTTAAAAAAAACCTTGTTATCTTAGGAGATAACAAGAACACTATTTTATTTCGTAAGAAAACTAGATTTTTAACCCATGCTACGCTGCGAATTGGATAAAATATATAAAATCATATAGAAAAATTATTTCAGTTTAATAATTTGTTTTATGATAAAAAATAATTATAATTTTTAAATGAAAAAATTTATATTTAACTATTTCTTATTTGTGTTTTTCAATTTTAGAAATAAATAATAAAGCAAATAAATTATTGATTTCTTTAAAATTTTAACACCCAATTAATTGTTGGTTCTTTTAAAATTTTAACACCTAATATTATTAAGAAATTAAAATTAAAAAAAATCAATGTTTAGGAAAAAAAAGGAGGCCAGCCATTTACTCGTTCATGTGAATAGTAAACGGATGGAAATTAAAAAAAAATAGTGTTTAGAGGAAAAAAAAAAGGGCAAGCCGTTTACCATTTAAATGAACAATAAACGAGTAAAAAAAAGGAGTAGGGAAAGGCTAGCGAGTGCTGGCAAAAAAAAAAATGAAAACTTAAAAAACAAAAAAAGCCAAAGTAATATAGCAATGAATAGTGATTAACACTCGTTTATTGCTACGATGAAAAATGATTTTTCTTTAGTATATAATATTAGATTTTTTATCCGTTCTATCGTCATGGGTTGGATAAAATATATAAAATTGTTTAGAAAAATTATTTCAATTTAATAATCTGTTTTATGGTAAAAAATAATTATAATTTTTTAATAAAAATTTTTATATTTAACTATTTCTTATTTTTTTAAAATTTTAAAAATAAATAATAAAAAAATAAATTGTTGGTTTCTTTAAAATTTTAACACCCAATTAATTGTTGGTTCTTTTAAAATTTTAACACCAAATACTATTAAGAAACAAAAATTAAAACAAAAATTTAATGTTTAGAAAAAAAAAGAAGGATGGCAGGCGTTTGCTATTCAAATGAACAATAAACTGATTGTTTGGGAGGGGGGTCTAGCCAAAAAAATTAATGGAAATTTTAAAAAAAAATACTATAGCAATGAACAGTGATTTACACTGTTCATTGCTACAGTGAAAAACCATTTTACTTTAGTATATAGGATAATATCTTAAATGATTACGAATTAATCAATAATTAGTCCTCAATATACTGTAAACCATATTTTATTGTTCCGCAGAACTGAAGATATTCAGGCATCCACAATAAACATCAGTTTTTGTGTAGTTTTTTTTTCCCGAAAAACGCATGCTCTTTGTAAAATAGTACTATTAAAAATGAATTTTGCAACTATAAGGTACAACATAACTAAACAGAACTCTCAGAATTTGCCTGTGACAAACTCCACCGTTCTTGAGAACCTTGACTGCTCGAAGCCTTGAAGTGAAATAAAAAGTGAACCGAAAAAAACTGAAAAAACGCGGGCGTTTACCAAATTCTTAAATTTCCACAAATAGAACCAAAACGACATCGCTCGTCAAATATCCTGTGCTTCCTTCCGTGGCAACAGAGCTGAAACCACAATTACAATGATATCCAGAAGAGCCACGTCATCATAAAGAAATCAGTTTAATAAGGCGGTCTCGTTGCCGAAGCGACCGCCCTCCTTTTCAAAAAAGAAAAAACCCTACCCCTCTTCTTATCTCCCTAATCCCTCCGCAACTGAAACATAAAACATAAGAGAAACCTGCGCTGCTACTCAAAACTCAGAAACGGTACCGTACAAACCAACATAGAAAGCCCTAGCTTCCTCGATTGGTTGTTGTTTGTGGTGATTTCAGATCTGTCTACGTGATTTATTCAAGCAAAGAACTAAAAAAAAGTGTGTATTTTTGGTGTTATAGAGAATGGATCGGTACCAGAGGGTAGAGAAGCCAAGAAATGAAACGCCGATTAACGAGAATGAGATTCGCATCACAACTCAAGGCAGAATGAGGAACTACATTACTTATGCCACTACGCTCTTTCAGGTCCTTATCCTTACTCACTCTGTTTCGTAAATTATTTTTCATCTCTGTTGATTAATAAATTGATCTCGCAAGTCGAGCGCCTGTGCGTCTGTTTTCTTTTCTTACAGAAATTGCGTTTTCTTACTTTTTCAAAATAATTTTTTGTCTTATGTATTTGTATTTTTTCTTTTTTGTTATTATATCTGCTATCAAAACTGCTGATAAATCTCAGTAGTGTTCTTTATTACTCACAGTGTCAATGATATGATTTGTTACTTTTCTTTTTCTTAGATGTCTGTGTAGTGCTGCGGTTTGTCTTTTTTAATTGTTTAATTTTTTTTTTATCTTTTAAGTAGATGTTGAAATAAAAATTATAAAATTTGCAGATGGTGCTGTATACAGCTTTCTTTCACCTTCTAGTGACCGTGCTAGATGAGATTCATGGATATGATTTATCTTGTCTGTTTAAAAATGCATATTTTATGATGATATGTTTTTGTCTTGTATATTTCTCAGTCATCCGTTTTTGCTAATTCAGCCTAGTTAAGGATTTTTTAGCATATCTAAAAGTGAAATATTCATTTATGGTGGGGCAGAGACAGTTTTGAATTTGAAGGTAATATTTTTTTTTACTCTTAACAGGAGAAAGGATCTGATGAAATCTCTCTCAAGGCCATGGGCAGAGCCATAAACAAGACTGTGATGATTGCTGAATTGATTAAGGTAGTTCCGTAATTTGTTATGTTTTGCTGCTTTCCCTTTTTAATAGGCATTTTCAATTCTTCCACACTTTCCCTTTCGATCCATTTGTTTTGTCTTTGATACACTGAGAATTTCCTCTGTATTTCAGAGAAGGATTGCTGGTCTTCATCAGAATACATCCATTGGTTCTACTGATATAACTGACATGTGGGAGCCACTGGAGGAGGGTCTTCTCCCGTAAGAGTTCTCCTGAGCATTCTCCGTGCCCCTATATGGTGCATTGTTTTGTCTTTATGGCAATGGCTGATTGATTTCTTGTCTATACAGCTTGGAAACCACTCGTCATGTGTCAGTGATAACAATTACTCTATCCAAGAAGGAACTGGATACATCCTCCACAGGGTGAGTTGGATTTAGCTTTGTGCCCAAAGCTAATGCTTTGATCAAATTGGTTTCGTTGGGACAAAATTCAGCCAATACTATTTTACTGCAGTCTCCATTGTACAATACTTGTATATATACATATGCTTACATCCATAAATATGTAAGCATGTAAATATCATACTGTTAGCTTTTTAACATCATGTTCTATGGAGCAATCACCATACTTTAGAGTGCCTTTTGGTCTTAAATGTGGTGTATTTTTAATACCTTTGATTTACCTCTCCTCTAGCTATCAATCACCTATTCCAGCTGATCAAGTGAAACCACTCGCTGAATATGATTATGAAGGAGGTAATGCAGGTTCTTCATATTTCTTTCTGATTGTAATCCCTCCGTGGCATGTGAACTGACATTTATTTTTGTTTTTATGGATATAGAGGGGGGCTCTCCTCGTAGGCAGGGGAGGGGGCGTGGTGGTCGAGGAATGGCTAGAGGTAGAGGTAATATATGATGCAACTTTAACGGTGCTTAATATGTTATTCTTTTTCTATTGGTAAGGAGTGTGGCTAAGTGTATTTTGTTACTACTAATTTCTTTTTAAAATTCAATGGCTTCTAGAGTGAATGTCTATATACTATATGCTATGTCGCTGTTAATGAGTAGATATTTTTATGTTAGGCTATATATTCATGCTAGGAGATAAAGTAAATCGGCCAAATCATTCTTTGTTTGAGCAGTGGTTGAACAATCTTTTTGTGATAGGGACTGTCTTAGTACCTTAGCTGAACTATACTTTCTTGTTGGCTAAATTGGGTGTACATGGAGGCTGTCCTCATTTTCAGCAGGGAACATCATGACACGAACAACTCTGATGAGGTTATAAGATATATCCGCTAGTAGCCCCAAACAGAGTGAAATCTGTTGGTGTTGATCTCTCGAATATGTTTGTGCTATGGGAATTATAGGCGAACAAAAAATGTTGGGGGGATGATAATGTCTGAATAGCTGGGTCGCTTTCACTTTCAAAAAATAGTGCATTGCAACATTCATTTCAAGTTTTATTGTCTGAATTGGTGAATGGATCTATTTCCTCCATGGATCAACTGTGTTTCCTTGCCATTTGTTTAGCTTTCATTATATCTGCTTTTATTTTGGGAAGGTAACAAGAAGTCATTATCCATTTTGTGCACAGGAAATTATAGCAATGGAGTGCTGGAGTACAATGGAGATGGTGGCTGGGATGGTGGGCGTGGATATGGTGGCAGGGGTAGAGGTCGTGGAAGAGGACGGGGTTATCGTGGTCGTGGAAGAGGTTATGGTGGTGCATATATGCAACAACAGCCAGGTGGTTATAACGACTATGGTGGTGGAGCATTTGTTGGCCAAGGCCGCGGTAAAATTCCATCATTATGTTATTATAACTTTGTTCTTGCTCAATAGATCTCAAGATGATATGAATAAAATGTGAAACAGGTACAAAATACAGACCACCTCTTCTCTCGCTGATAATTGGCCAGCTTTGCATTAAAGAAATCCTCTAGTTTCTCCCTTGTGCTCTTTTCCTCGATTGCATTGAATCACAGAATTCTTTCACATTTTTGCTATATGATACAACTCAATTCATTTTATGCTTGGGCATGATGATCAGACTAGTCATATTTTGTTTTCTTATAATCGCATCTTTCTTCTACGGCATTGTAGAACATTTTTACATCCATATTTGGAAGCATCCAGAATCTCAGTTTAGCTATAAAAAAGAGAGAAGAAAATAATGAGTTATTGCTTGGGTCTCTTTGTGAGTTAATTGTGGCATATAGTTGAGGCTGGAGTGCACAATGGTGAAATTGTTTTCAAATGATATATGCTCTTCTGGTTATCATCTTTATCTGAAATTAGAACTATTTGGCCATGCAGGGCGAGGACGTGGACGAGGCAGGGGTCGTGGGCGTGGGCGTGGCCGGGGTTTCAGACCAGATGGTCCTGCCCAGGCAGCTGAGTGAGCCCTAGTCTCAGTTGTAGAATCTGGTTAGAAATGGATGCCTGCTCTTTTGATTTTGCCTTGTTCTAAGTGAAATAGAAATTAAACAGTGGATTTCACTAATTAATTTCCAGGCATTTTAGTAATAGTAAGCTCCTGCGCATCTGTGTGGTGGCTTTGTTTTGTAGTTTGAAGGTAGGATTATTCTTGTTTACTGCTGACAAAAACTTGAAAAGTTGTATACTTTCTTCTTGTGTAGGGAATAATAGAGCAGTACATTCTTCCAGTTCTATTCCAGCGATTCTGTGTTTTCATAAGCGGGGCAGTTGCTTCAATGTTTTTTTCTTGTTATGAATGCAATGCCTTTCACTCTCTTTTGCCATGCAAATTGCATTCTCTGCGGTGGTCTTTCAATTTCTTGCACTTTTTCTGCTGAGACAACCATAGTTTGTCGGAACTTTTTTGTGCCAAATTGCGTCATTAGTTAGTAGTTTATGGCTGTTCTGAAGTCACTTCAGGCCAGTTGTTCAAGTAAACAGATGCATTGATCTGCTTTTGTGCTATAGCACACTGAAAATCCAATTTTGGTTGTTTAGAGAGCAATACGGTCAAAATATGTTACATTTTTTAGTCATCCAGCCGTTAAAAAAAGAAAATAGAAGTCTCTTATTTCTATAAATTTAAGGACAGAATAACCAAAAAAAAAAAAAATTGAGGAAAAAGATGTGGGGAATGGAGGATGAGCAATGGAAGGAATGAGCGATGGAAGTATCAAATAACTCTTTCCACAGTCAGAATGGACGAGTATGAGGATTAAGCGCCTGGCACAGTTTTTGTTTTGCTAACATCACTTAAAATCCCTTTCTTGTTCGGAATGAGTGAAGACACCGATTGGAGTATTTATGATTAGCCAATGAGCCAATCTTATAAATGACTTGCGAGCTATATAGTTTTGATACCATGATCAATTGTGATATCTCCTTTCCCCTGCTTTCAAAGAGCTCTGATAACATTATTATTATTATTATTATTTTTGTTTTGAAACGTAAATTGGGTTACTGAAGTTGCATTTAGAATGGTGCAATATCATTTTGGTTCATCAATTCGTGTACTTAATATTAGAAGCAATAATTAAATAAACCCTAAAAAAGAATGATTTTATTAGCATTTATTAGCATTGTCGCTGAGGCTTTGGCTTTAGGGATAGCAATGAGTTGGGAATAAAGCTGGTAACTGTTCAACCTAGTTCAATAAATACCCATTAAAAGTATTTAATGGGCATTGAGATGGTAAGAGTTAAAAAAAAAAAATCAGCTTAGACTTTGGTTTTAAGAATAGCAATGGGCATTGAGAGGGATGAGGATAAAAAAAAATGCATATTGGTTAATATATTTTTTAGATAAAAACACTTACTCTATACCCTAATAATAACCATTATTTTAAAAAGAAAAAACAATTTAACATATTGAGACTTCATTGTAAAAACTCTATGCAATAGGGATCAAAATATTTTTATGAAAACTTTAAGGACAAAACATATAAATAAAGTATCAAATTGTTAGAAAGTATTAATTTGAAAGATCATAACTTTGTTTGAAAATTATAGACTAAAATAAAATATTTTGACAAATTATTTTTAGCTCATATTAAATATTTATTAAATAAAAAGATAAATCAGACATAGTTCGGATATGAATTTAAAAGCTAATTTTTTAATGGGTATAATAATGATATTTTTTAATAGAGGGTATAAACGATTGAATTAATAGCCCAGTTGTCTGGCCCATTTCCGTGCCTATTTGGCTCTCAATTTTAAAAAGATGAGGGTGCCATAGAGGTGGTTCAATGGTCTCCCAACAAACCTTTGTCTTTTTTTTGTTTTTTTTTTAAACTTTGCAGCTTTGTAATAACTGAGCCCCTTTTTTTTCAACAAAGAAGCAAAGTTTTAGTTACTTTAGTTCATCTTCCTTCATTCTCAAGTTTGACATGGTCCCTATCTTCACAAAGGCATTCGAGTTCAAAAAATATATATATATATATATATGCTTTGAGGATTTTGAGTTTTGAACGACCAAAAAGTATGGTGAATGGATGGCATCCGAATAACCAATGAAAGCTTCCACATCACAATGACCACAAAACTGGAGATCCAAAGGCCGAAAAATAAGCCATTCAGTTGCTCTAGGGCGAGCTAGTTAGGGTCAGATCTTGGGCCTCCAAAAAATATCCTGATCATATTCCGGCCCAAGGTTCACCAATGTGGGCCTTGGTCCAAAATTTAGACTTTCATGCCTCTGCCAATGGATTCCTTATTTCGAAAAGAAAAGATTCAATTTTTCAGTACTATCGATCATGCCAAGCCCGTTGATCGTGTTCTTCTCCGGACACTACATTAATTAATATAATTACTGTTATTTGTGTTATTTTTATTATGTTTAAATAGGAATAATATCAAATCCGATACTTGTAAAAATACTCAAATCTTCATGCATTTAAAACCCGAACTTTAAACTTAAATTTATGTACGTTCACAATTTTGGATGATTATCTTATTACCTAAAGCTCATAAGTAATTACATCCATTTAACATATCTATTCGACTTTGTTAATGTTTGTACATTTTCTATTGATTGAATTTGAAAAAAATTGGCATTATTATGAATACAAAAAATATTTATACATGTAAGATATTTTACCTTCTTGCATATTCAACTTAAATACCTTATTTATCCTGATGTTCGATAGACTACAAATTTATGATACAACACCATTTGCATGAATGACATACAATCCAACCATCACAGAGCCATAAATTTTCAAACATTTTAAGGGATCTTGTTTGACAACAAAGCATGAAACCATGATTCCAAATTTTTAACTACAATCTCTCCTGATTTCTCTCTCATCAAAAATTTGCCTTTTTTTCCCATTCCGTGTAAAAAGATTTGCTTTAATACATCTACCGAGTTGATCCTTAAATACAGCAGTGTTTTTTCAATGACTTACTTCAGCTTGAACTTACGAATCCAAACGGCCAAACAGAAAATGAGGTTCTTTCTCCTTACTATCAGAGACTCGGCTGACGTTAAAAAAAAAACAAGACGGTTAAAAAAAGAGCAAATGCAAAACACGACAGTAATCGGAACTGGTAAGGTAATTAAAAATGCAAAGTAAATCCATCGGAACAAAAACTGTTCAGACATCCAAACAAGAAAGAAAACAATTGTCTCAAGCGAAAGACCCGGAAAAGAAACCAAAATCGACTAAATTTACTAGAATAGCTAAAAATTCCAGATTGCATAATTATGCCTTGAGGCGTCCAAAGAACTTCTGTTTCTCTTCTGTTGTCTGGAAGCGACCATGTCCAAACTTTGAGGATGTGTCCACAAACTTGATTTTGATTTCCTCAAGAGCCAATCGAGATGTCTGTTTGAGCAGTGATTGACGGAGTGTAACCACCCTCTTCTTAGGTCCAACGCAGCATCCCTTGATCATCAGATAGTCGTCCTTCACCACACCATAGTGAGGGAAACCACCCATTGGAGTGATATCCTTTTCAGTCCTGTTAATCATCCAATGTCAGCAAATTTTAAACTATGTTTTTAAGAAAAAAAATTCTAGATAAAACTGAATTTCTAGGTAACTAAGCACTTGAGAAACATATAAACAGATTTATCTAACAGAATAGTATATGGATCAAGTTCCAAGAACACAATGATTACCTGTCATACTCCGTTATGGCAGTGTGCGACTCCTGGCCATTCTTGCCAACCTTGTAGATCTTCTTGTTCATTTCAGTACGGTGGTGGTATCCATTCTGACCAGCCCTAGCAACAGTGAATGAAACTCTTGCAGGGTGCCATGCACCAATACAAGCCACCTTACGGAGACCCCTGTGGGTCTTGCGAGGCAGGCGAGTGACACCCCAACGAGTGACAACACCTTCATAACCCTTACCCTTGGTGACACCAATAATATCAATCATCTCATCCTTCTGGAAAACAGCATCAATTGGGACTTGCTTTTCAAAGAAACCATAAGCAAAATCCACCTTCTGAGCAATTGTTCCACCATTGACCTGGATCTCCATCAAGTGAGCCTTCTTCTGCTTCAATCCTTTCATCTTTCTGATCTGTAAAATGTTAAAAAGTAAGAAGCAATTATCACATAAAAATAAATTACAAGACTAGAAGCTGGAAGGCTACCAATTACACCAGTCTTGTCAAATGACTAGCATAAAAATTAAAATTGGACCTGAGTGTGAGCCAAAACACGAATGACGGTTGCATATTTCTTCAACTTCTCAAGCTGTGATTGGATGCTCTTCTTCCCTTCTTCGGTCTCATACTGCGCAGAGTATTTTGTGAAAGCCTTCTTCTTGGACTTGCACCAGTTCTTGTAGAACCTTCGTTTGACATCCTCACTCAAATGCTGAGCCCAAACAGTGTTCAGAGTTCGGAGACCAGCTGGTGTCTTCAAGTAACCCACAACTCCAACAATCACCATTGGAGGTGTCTCGACGATTGTTACAGCCTCGCATGTCTCCTTCTTGTGAAGCTCTACAGAAGGAGAAGTAAAATACAAAAGTTATACCAAAAATACCTCGTTCATGCTGCATTTAAAACAACTGATAAACGAGGTCTTAATGAACATCACAAAGTTGTCATGTTAACAAGAATCAATAAGGAAAACAAAGAAATAAGTTTGTGAGACCAAATATTGAAGGTCGTTACATTATGTGAAAATTAACTTAAAAAGGGAAAGATCCACCAAATTATTGAACCAATTTGTCAGGATGGCTAATGATAATTTCTCAAAGATTTTCTTCCAAAGAAAGAAGATAGAAAAATTTAAGACTTCAATTTTACAATGTGCAAGAACTAAGAACGGGAATGAAAATCTTGCTTACTGGATCCAGGTTTTTCAACCTCTCTGACAATGTGTGTCATTCCAGCCTTGTAACCCAAAAAGGCAGTGAGCTTGCAAGGCTTGGTAGGGTCATCCTTGGGGAAAGACTTCACTGAATAGAGACAAAACAAGAATCAAAAGCTTCCATCGTGAGAAAAACACTTGCAGTACAATAATAAAACAACCCAAAAACACATCAAATAAGGATAAAGAAATTCATATCAACCTTTTCCTCTGTGACGAGCAGCTCGCTTCCTTGGAAGAAATCCAAGAGAACCATGTCTTGGGTGCTCAAACTTCCTGTGAGACATCCTTCTCCTCCTTCACCACCAAAAAACAACATATATTCTTTAAACAACTATAAATAAATCTAACTAAAAAATAAGTTACAATCTGAAAGATTAGTACATCGCACAAAATAACCAAACTAGGATAAACATGATTGCAAGCTACATGTAAACACAAGATCTTACAAAAGTAGAAATCTACATAAGAAAACCTTCTAGGTAGCATTCAAGCAAAGATAAAACGAAACTTGTATTACAAAAAGGAAAAAGCACAGGCATTAAATCAAACATCCAAAAGAATAACACACATTCATAACACCAGCAGCTATAATGATTTTCATGCTCTGACACTAATGGTAAGCTAATTACTACAAAAACAAAACAAACAATCGAATCTCGTAGCAAGGGAAACAAAACAACTCTTGGTTTCTATCATTTCCACAGAAGCAAAGATAGTTGTAACTTCAGAAATCTCAATTTTATCTTTTTTTCTAGATTTTCTTCGCAACCAAACAGGTAAGGAGAGGAGAAACATTACGACAGAGAAATGAGATACGCACCTACGGCTGCGGCACACACACAATAGCTTAGCTCTAGAGCAGGCGGAGGGTGTCAATAAACCCTAGTTGGTCTTTATATAACACTTCAAGATACATGAAACCCACCTCTATTTTCGTCTTTTTTTTTTTATGGACCCACTAGTTGAACGAAACGCACACCCTAATTTTTTAATTGAGCTGTAATGGCCCAAATACAAATATGAAGTGCTTGTTAATTAGGCCCATGAAAAAGCTCATTCTTAGCCTTGTTTGCTGGCCCAATATTAATACCGATTTCTGCTTGACAAGAAACGGCATGTAGTTTCGACATTACCGTTCCATTTATAACTAGGGCAACGGCGATCCATGGCCAGTCGCCACCACTATAAAAAGATTCAATCCATTGCCTTCTTCAAATTTCGCAATCGCAGGGAGAAGGGAAGCTGGATTTCAAAATTGGTTTTTGCTTTGGTTGTCTTTAGGGTTTGTTAGTATTGTTAAAAGAAAGAGCGTGATGAAATTATCTGTGCAAACGCAGCGCCAGTCTAGCTGGTTGCTATGGGCGGCACTTTCCACACGAGATTTCTGACTCTTCCTTCCTTTTCTTTTTTTTTTTTTTGTTTTGTTATTATTATTCTTTACCTCTACTCCTGTCTTTGGTTGTCTAGAAAGCAGAATTGAAGAAAAAATTTTGCCATTCGTTTTGCGAGCTCTTAAATCAGGCCCGCTCTCTGTTCTAATTTAGTTGCTGTTGTAGTCTGTTTTGGATCTGGGAATGTGTGATTTTGGTTGTCCAGAAAAGAGAGGAGGAGAAAATCTTTCACCTTTTTTCCTCCAACACCTAAAGTTTGGTTAATCCACTGGTCTTAATTTAGTTGCTTGTAGGATCTGTTTTGGATCTGAAAAATATGTTTTTTGGTCCTTTTTTGCAAGTTTACGATTGATATAAATCGAATTGCGGTGTGATATTCCAAATTGGGATTGTTCTTATTTATCCAAAATTAAAATCTCTTTTAAATTCGTTCTTCGGAGTTATTTGTTGGTTTAATTGCTACCTTGTTTGGTTTTTCTTTTTACACTTCTGCTGTTTGAGAAAACTCTGTCATCACCAAAAACTAATATTAATAGAACAATATTAGGTTTTCTATGATGAGAGGATAAATATAAAGCATGGAGTAAATATATGAGCTAACAGCGTAAGTATAAAGAATTAAAGATAGAAAGAGCTACGAGTAAAATATGTGCTCTTGCTGGGACTCTAATCTCTCAGTCAAGCAAAATTTGCTATTTTGAATTTGGACATTAATGCAGGCTAAGCTGTAATGGCAGATGATTTTGTGAATAATGATGAGTGGTGATCGTAGATGAAAACGAACTTTGCAGATTTGGTTGCCTTTTGTATTCCGGGAGCATCAGATTATTCTTACTACTTTCTTACACTGGCTTTTGATGTGGATACAAATGACCCCAAGCTAAACGATCAAATCTTCACTGCATTCCAATCATACCAGGCCTGTTCGCTTATAGAAACAAATCAAGTTATGGATTCCACAAGCCAAGAAAATGTGTTTATATTATCAACCATGTCAGGAAACCAAACTGCGGATTTCAAAAGCCCTGTATTTATATTATCAACCATGTCGATTGCCCTTGGCTTGCGAAGATTATTAATCTGGTAAATTATAGTCTAACTTGATCAATGTCTCAACCTTGGTCGTTTATTTATTTTTCTTCAAGCCTTTTGGACGAAGATACGAAAATTGAGCATTCAGAGAACAGCTTCTTGGTTTCTGTTTACTAGCCATATTTGCCGGTCACTGGAAACAGAACTACACCGCTCCTAAAGATCCCCTACAGTCTGACACATGATGATTGGATAATATTTTTTTAGCTGCTGGTTCTAGTGCATCATCGCCACGTGTTATCTGCAAATTTTTGGGATGTTCTCTTCTTAAAAATAGGAATGTGTTTATAATTTTTCGAGAAAATAATATATCAGAAGGTTATTGTTTTGCATTCTTAAACACCCTTTGTTGAATATGCAATTTTTTTATTTTTATTTTATATAAAATGTAAGCTATTGCCAAAAAAAAAAAAAAAACTAAAAGAGATGGCACCTGACTCAGATTTCCTATGCGTTCTACTTTTACAGCAACAACACCATTTTTCCATATCCTTATTTATATTTTATTTTTTTGGCCCTCTTTTGACTTCCTACTTTCCTCTCTGTCTTCCTTCTCTTTTATTTTGATAATGACATCATTTTATTACAATCTCATCAAACCTCCATCTTCATCCTTTTCACTCTCTCTCACACAAAGGTCGTGCCCCTTAAAATGGTTCGAAGGCAAAATCTTCAAAAAATCTACAAAATATTAGTTAGATCAAGTGTATAGGCTTATAAGGCCTTTTATATATATATATATATATATATATATATATGTATTACAATCCTAGTTGTTCATACTATAAATAAAGACAACTTCATTTATATTTGTAAACCATCATTTGATAAAACCCTAATAAGAAATCCTAATGCGGCCGTGAGATAAGTATAATTACCAAACCACGTAAATTTTGTGTTGTGTGATTGTTCTTATCTTTTTACTCTATTTTTTGCTTGATCTCGTTTCCCAGCAACAAACACACGTAACTAAACTCATATTTTCTTTTTCGAATTATTCAATTCGACTTGTCGATCCCTTATCTTGCTCGCCTCACCTCCCCACGGTAGTCCCCTTAGCTAGGGACGTTCACTATTCGGTGAAAATCGAATAACCGAATCAAAGCCGAATCGAAATATAGCCGATTTTCGGCTTCGATTTCGGTTTTTTTTTTAATTTGGTTTAAACCGAATAATCAAAATTATTATTTTTTTTTTAAATTCATCAATGAACGACGTTGTTCATTCCAGGTCCTCACACCCTCACCTCACCCTCATGCAAACCTAAGCCGATTGGAGTTAAATCAATTAGCCTATAACCAATTCTTATTGCATTGATTACATGAGCCACATGGCTCAACGTCAAATGACCATAACCAATTCTTGTTTATAATTGCCCAAGGAGGTATGTAATTTCTTTCTTGATTCAATTTATAGTTTAAAAGAAAAGATGTGAGATAGTGTTTTTTTTTCTATGTGAAAGAAAACTAGTTAATTTATGGACCCCGATAATAATTAGTATGTCTCTTTTTAGTAAACACGTATAATTTAAAATTGCACTAAAGAAACTTGAGTGTTTAAAGTTTTAATGTTCTTCATTGTTCAAAAACAACATTGCCATTTAATCGAGCAAAGGTTAGCTTATGGTCGTAGTGTTTAACAAGTTATCCAAAATGATTAGTTCTAATTACGTCAAGTTAATTAAAAGTGTCTTTCATAATGACAAATAAGTCGGTTATATTTGAGCTTCAAAGCATGCTCGTTTCTTTTTAGAAAGAATTATTAAAATGTCTTAATTGTAACATATATTTAGCGGTATTATCTATTGATAATGATAGACAATAACATATATTATATATTATTAGGCTTTATATGGTAATGATGACATTTCGTATTATATATATATATATATATATATATATATATATATATCAATTGATATTATATTAATAATGGCTATTGAGGAGTAGTAATATAATAGTAAATAGACGAGAGTTCAATGAGATTGAAAAACGTATACACATAGGAACATAGCCTAAAATCGTAATGCAAATACTAAATTTATTTTTTCAAAAGTGCATGATCCTTTCAAAAATCAAAAGTATAGATAATTACGGTGAAAATCGAATTATCGAATAAAAAACCCGATATATTTCAAAACCGAATCGAAAACCAAATAATAATTTGGTTCGGTTTCGGTTATTTTTTAGACAATTCGGTTAACCAAAAACCGATCAAAAAAGTTTGAAACCGAACCGAATTACCGAACGAACACCCCTACCCTCAACCACCGATCACCGACATTCCACCGCCCTTTGTCACCGTTAGCCGACATGTCATGACCCTCTTCTCATGTTTGTATCTTTTCCTTTTCCTTTTTATTATTTTCTTTATTTATTTGGTTATAATAATTAAGAAAGGAAAAAAAAACTATTCATTGTGTATGTATATAAAACAAAGAGTTGTGCAAGGATTTGTTCAAGAAATGGTCAAAACTTGATGATTCTTCCTTCTCTGTCGAGATTGCTTATGGTTGCATAAAAAATCTCTCGTGAATATTGTTATTATTTTATTTCATATTTGCTCCTTCTATTGTCTTTTTATAATAAAAATTTATCTACTACCATACCTAATTGATAATTCGTGTAGTGCTAAAGGCATATGTGAAAGAAGAAAATGGAAATAAGGTGTTTGTAATTGTCAAATTATATAGTTCTAACACCAATTATGTTATTAATTGAGAAAGCGAGCTTTAGGTAATTTTCTATGGTTTGTTTAATTTATTGAACAAGAATCGGAGCTTTAATTTTCTTTGGTGTATCATTATATGTAGTTGTTTACAACAAAAAATGTATTCAGTCTATCAAATACCTCTTGGTTTAAGGATTTAGTGCCAAGTTGCTTGGAGTACTTGGAAATGACATAGTTTAATATTTTATAAATACATGAACACTAGTTTCACAAGATAATGATGATAACACTCATTGACTATCTTATGTTTTTATTTAGTGTTTTGTTTTGTCCATTTAAAAAAAATTGGTGTATGGGAGGTTATGCTTTAAGTCTTTTGATTACTTGGTCTATTATATGTTGATCATTTCATATGCCTTTGAAGTTTGACGTGCAATGTCTATGGTTCTCACGACCTTTTTTGTTTAATTAGTAGCGGTTATGCTTTAAGTCTCGAGTAGCGTATACCTCCAACATGATTGATTTATTTCATTAAATTTCTTAGCATTTATTTCTTGAATACTTGGCTTTTCTTTTGGGCTATAGTAATTCGCTTTAATTTTTCCGATCAACTTTATAGTTATAAACTCTATCATAATTTTAGTTTTCACATACTATTGACTTAAATGACAAGTTAATTGAAATATTGAAAAATTAAGCTTATGAAGTTATTTGGTGGTTTGCACTCGCTTAATGATGTATTTTTAACCTTTCTTTGCCTTTATTTGGTTTTCATAAACCGTCGCTAATTTCGATCATTAGAGGAAAAACGATCATATTTGAATTTTTTGAGTTTATTAGTGATGATTTAAGTAAACATTCGCTAATTCCAAAGTCATAATATTATTTAGCGATGGTTTTTGTAAAATCGTCGCTAAAGGTATTAGTGACGGTTTTATGAAAACCGTCGCTTTTAAATAGTTTTAGTGATGGTTTTTCGATCCATCGCCAAAAAGCCATTGCTAATATCAATTTTTCCAGTAGCGATTGTAGATGAGATATGTGATTATGTTATGGCAACTGATTTCGTATCTTGTTTTTTTATATAAATTTCTCATATAAGGAGACATGCATTCTCTATATTTCAATCGGTTATAAACTTGAAATTTCGAAACAATCGCAAGATATCAAATATAAGTGAATAGCTTTTTTTTTCCTCTTGTGAAATTACATTTTACGCACCAAAAAATAATTTTTTTTTGTTTTTTTATCCTCCAATATACGTAACTAGCCACTACCATGAATTGCGTGGTTGTACCATTTTACAACTTGAATTAATTTGAAACTTCCTTTTTTGAATTGTTACACGAGGAAAAGAAACGGATGGTACTATATATTTAATGTTATTTAAATATTAAAATCAGAGTAACATTACGAATAGTTTGAATGAAATTTTAATTTCAATTTTTTAATACTTGATTGAAGTATTTAGTAAAACTTGAGATAATTGAAAAAGAATGATAATACAGTGAAGATACATTATACTTGCAGATGTAATATGTTCTGTTATATGCTTTGTAAGTTCAAAATCTATCATGGAAGAAGTAAAGGTTTGGAATATCTTGATTTTATTAATGATTTTCAGCTCTGAGATTTTTTTTCAATATCTGTTTTGTGTCAGGTGATGCTCTTATTCAATTCTTGTCATCCATCTCACACGTATACGCCATTGATTATTTATACACATGCAATTGATAGCTATAATACTTTTAAAGTAAAGAATCAAGGGCATAAAAAGTTAGTGCATCTTATTAATTTGGAGCATACTTGAAAAAAATAAAAAGATAAAGTAAAAAAAAAAACTCTAAAAAATTAAATACAATAAAGAAGGACATAGAAGACAACTTGAATTATCATTGTCATTTTAATGAAATTACAGTTTAAAATGGGTAGAGAGGACAAGAATTTTCTTATACCTCATAACAATAATATTTGTAACCAACCATCTACCATGGGTTGCATGGTTGTACCATTATTTGAATTGTTTCTCGGTCTTGCATGGTTAGGTGATGTATAAATCCTAAATCGTCAATGCGTTCAAGCTTTGGCAACAAAATTGCTTTACAAGGAAAAAAGCACAAAATACTGCATATTTATTGTCATTTGAATGTTAAAAAACAGCGAAATTCTGAAAAATTTGAATGAAATTTTATTTTTTTATCTTTCAATGAAAATTTAATTAAAGCATTAGATAATTGAAAAAAATTGACAATGACCCCTTTGGTACAAGAAACAAAATGAGAGAACATAAGACATGACAACATTAAGTCTTTAGTAAGTAACTATGGTAATTTGCCTCGTTTTGATAGAGCCCGACCCTCCTCGCCTCGGTCAACGTGAAGATTCTCCGTGTTGATTGGGGAATTAAGTGGGACGGGGCATCCTGTGAACGAGGATGGTATTTGTCTGTTTTGTCCCGTTTACTCTATTTTATGATTTTTTTCCTAAAATTATAATTATATCTTATATAAAATTTATAACTAATGAGTTTTATGGTTTATTTTTAATATGAACTATAATTTTTTTTTTGCTATAGTTTGAAATTTAATAATAAAATAGGATAAGATGAGATAAAAAAAATTTGATAATTTTTTTACTCTGTTTGCTTCGACAATGTCCTTTGAGGATCATCGTCTTTGTCTGGGGTACAGATGACATGACAAAGACCCTGAACTAAACATGGGACGAGAATGAGGCAAAATTGGGGGGGGGGGGTCGCTGGTCATTCCTCGCGGTGAGTAGTATCCTCCCTCGAGTTATGTATCGTGTACCAATCATAAAGAGACATGGGGTAGAGCCCAAATTACAACGAAGGGCAGCTGACTGCTGTGGGCCTGAGGTCCATTGTCGACAAGACCAGATCCCCAGAATTAGCTAAAGATTTTTAGATCTTGACTAAGAATAAAAGAGACTCCTACACGTGGCACTAACAAAGCCTCTTATCCACTCTACAGAAATACCAGACTAGATTCGTTTATTCAATTTCAGCGAAAAATTCATACCTAGTCAGTTACTTTTTTGCCCTTAAGACTTTATCATAATTCCGAGTGGCAAGTGGGGCCGGGAGTAAATATGGAAAAATAATTCAGTTTCAAAGAGCGGGAGAAATGAAAAACCAGCCGTTTTGAATTTGAACTACTCTCTCTCTCTCACACGCAGACCTTTCAAAAAAAGGCCATTCCCATCGTCAAGAGGAAAAAAGAAAGTTGGTAAGTATTTGATGAGTGATTTCTGAAGAAGAAAAATGGAAGAAGGAGAAATGGATTTTCATGGCATGAAGAGGAAACAACTGCAAGCGCTTTGTAAAAAGCATGGAATTCTTGCTAATAAATCCAATGCCGAAATGGCTGATTTGTTGACTCTGACCCTGAAGGTGTGTTTTCTGTTATAGATTGCTAATTTCATTTTCTTTTTGTTTGATTGGATGCTTAAATGGTTTCTGGCAGTTTCTTCATGTTTTTTTTTCCTGTTTGAAATTGGAATCTCCAATGGATCTGATGAATTTTTTGCTTATTATGTAAATTCAATAAGCATTGGAATTAAACATAGAGGCAATTGATTAGTATTAATTTATTGTGTGTATTTTACGATTATTAGGGTTTAAACATTGAAACAATTAGGATTAAATCTTTTAGACTCTTTTTCTTTCTTTCTGATTATTTTTATGGATTTTCCTGTAGTTAATGCTGTAATATTTATTTTTTACTTTTGAATTGTAAACAGGCAAACGAAAATCCCATAACGGAAGGTCATGGTGAATTACCAAATAAGAATGATTCTATGAATGTGCCGAAAAAATCAAAGAAAGTTAGATTCAGCCCTGATGTTGAAACACGTGAATATGAGCCTTCGGTGTATAAAAGAAAGAAGAGGAGGAGTATGGTTAATTCTGAAAAAGTTAATGGTTCTCCGCCTAGAGCTAGGAGTAGAGTGCGTAGAACAGTTGAAAGAAATGCAGAGGAGGTTGTGTTGCCGGTTGTTGGGAAGAAGAGAGGGAGCGGAGGAGAAAAGAAAGGGAGTCTTGGGGTAGAAAATGTTGATGCTACTTTAGTTACGAAGGATGGAGGGCCTCAACTCGTGATGGGAGGAGATAAATTGAGGAGGCATTTAAGAAGTAGAGAGGTGGTAATTGAAAGGAATGTGGAAGGAGGTGCAGGAGATTTGGTTGCTTCGAGGAAGAATTCAAAACGGGGAATGTCTAGAAAGAGAGGGAATAGCGAGGGGAGTAATGGGAATGCTTTGTTGGATGAAGTTTCTGTAGAGAATGTAAGTGCAAAAGACGATGCTAAACCTGCAAAGAAAGTGAGATTCAGCCCTGATGTTGAAACACGTGAATATGAGCCTTCGGTGTATAAAGGAAAGAAGAGGAGTATGGTTAATTCTGAAACAGTTAATGGTTCTCCACCTAGAGCTAGGAGTAGAGAGCGGAGAACAGTTGAAAAAAAGGTAGACGAGGTTGTGTTGCCGGTTGTTGGGAAGAAGAGAGGGAGCAGAGGAGAAAAGAAAGGGAGTCTTGGGGTAGAAAATGTTGTTTCTACTTTAGTTACGGAGGATGGAGGTCCTCAACTCGTGAAGGGAGGAGATAAATTGAGGAGGCAATTAAGAGGTAGACAGGTGTTAATTGGAAGGAATGTGGAAGGGGGTGAAGGAGATTTGGTTGCTTCGAGGAAGAATTCAAAACGGGGAATATCTAGAAAGAGAGGGAATAACGAGGGGAGTAATGGGAATGCTTTGTTGGATGAAGTTTCTGTAGAGAATGTAAGTGCAAAAGACGATGCTAAACCTGCAAATATACCATTGCGACCAAGAAGAAATGCTAGGAAGAATGAAACTACTTCATTATTGACTGTGGAATTGGGAGAAACTGAATTTGTTGGCAGGACCACTAGATCACGGGCTAAGTCAGAAAATAATACTTCTTCTGTAACTGAGAATAAGGCTGAAACTTTCGAGGTTCAGGATGAATGCCAAAAAGTTCTCCAGATTGAAGAATCTTTGAAGGGAGTAGGTAGTTATGCTTTGAGAAGAAAATCTTTTGTGCCTCAGAAGGGGGTGGCAGAAGAAATTCTAACTGAGGAAGGTGTTGAAGCAAGGAAGGGTGATGGGCGTTCAAGAAGAAATGCTAGGAAGAAGGAAGGTGCTGCATTATTGAGTGGGGATTTTGGCAAAACTGAAATTGTTGGCAGAATTACTCGGTCACGCTGCTCTACGTTAGGGGAGAATACTTCTTCCGTGACTACAAATAAATCTGAAACCATTGAGATCCAGGATGAACGTGAAAAGGTTCTTCAACTTGAAGAACCGTCGAAGGGTTTAGGTAGATCTACTTTGAGACGTAAATCGATGGTGCCTCAGAAGGGAGTCGCAGTGGAAAGCGTGTCTGGAGAAGGTCTTGAATCTATAAAGGATGTGAGGCCATCAAAAAGAAATACGGTAAAGGCTACAGATTCCAAACCTATCATTGAAGTTGTTGTTAGTAGGAGGACAAGGTTTGGAGCTCAGGTTGCAGGGAATAATTGTGCAGTTGAAAGTGCAGATGAAGATACCAAGGATAACAAAGAGCAGAACAGGGCTGTTCAGCTCGAGGAATCTTTGAAGGCTCAAAGTAGAAATGTTTCAAGACAGAAATCAGTTACAGCTCAAAATGGCAAGGTGGAAAGTGAAGGACCAGATGTGAATAGCGAAATCAGAAAGCTATCAAGGAATGCAGTTTTGAAGGCAGTTAACGAGGTTGAAGCTTCTGTACAACCTAGAGGCAAGCCTGAAAAGGCTTTGGTACCCATTGGCCATCTGAGGAGGTCCCGACGCAATACTGTTTTGTCAAGCTCTACTTTTGCAACTGATGAATTAGGAATTGTTGAAGCTGCTGGTAAGGTTGGGCAACAGAAACAAAAGCGTAACCCAATGCTGGGGGAAGATGCTTCTCCTGTTGCGGGTAAATGCTTAGTTGATACACCTTCAAGACAAGCCGCACAACATGCCTCTAAAAGTGACTTGGTTGGATCTACCGTCCCCGGAAAAATTGTTGAAAAGAAGCAACAGAGCATATCTGCACTTCCAGTTATTGTACAGGCAGCCATGTTTACTGAAGAAACACAAATTGAGCACACCAGATTGACCCTGTCAGAAGTTACAGGGGACAAAGTTAATTTCAGTTTGAACTGCGGCGAGGAAGTTTCTAAAACATATGACAAGAGGTCTGATAGTAAACCAAGTGAAATGAGAAGAACCAGTTTCTCGGAAGTATCTGCTGTGTTCTCTGACTTTCAGGAAGGTGGTGTAGATCCTGAAACAAATTTGCAGGAAACTTCGTCTCCAACATCAACATCAACATCACTGACTTTGTTATCTGCTTCTGCAAACCAAGAAATGCCAGAGAATGCTAGTCAGCCTGCAGTCATTAACGACGAGGCTGATATTGTCGTAAGTGACAAGGAGAAACTTGTTGCAGATGTGATCCCTGACGTTGGTGCGGATGATCTATCATGTAGATCTACTGAAGGCGGTGCAGATTTTGTTAATGGTAATTCAGATGAACTTGGGGTGGCAGAACTGCAGACTAATGCTTCTGATACGCTTTCTCTGGCTAGTGGTTTCTCATCCGCAAACAAATCAGATTTTTCAGGTAATTGAGTGGTTTACAATGAAGATATACTATTTTCTTTTCGGTGTTTGCTTACCATGTTCTAAATATTATATTGGTGAACCTTCCAATTTCTCAGGGTTGGAGAAAGGGCTCGAAAGAAAAGAACTGGGAGAAGACATACACTTAGAAAGTGGTGATGCCAATGATGGTTTAACTGAAATTGACAGAACATCTGCTCTGGATGATGGTGTCTGTGATCTAGAAAAGGCTGGACTGAACGTTACAATAAAAAGAAAAGAGCATGAAGAGGCACCTTGTGATGATAGAGCATCACCAGCTGCTGGTGAAGGGATGGTTAGCTTGAGCTCTGAAATAAACTTACTGGAGGATGGTGATGTCCTCCTTACCCAAGCTGCTGAAGAGGAACAGAATTTCATTTCAGAGAGAAACTCTGGCTATGTTTCGCGGGTCTCTGGCGTCTGTGATCTAGAAAAGGCTGGACTGGACGTTACAACAAACACAAATGAGCATGAAGAGGCACCTTGTGTTGATAGAGCATCACTATCTGCTGGTGAAGGGATGGTTAGTTTGAGCTCTGAAATAGACTTACAGGAGGATGGCGAGGTCCTCTATACCCAAGCTGCAGAAGAGAAACAGAATTTCATTTCAGAGAGAAACTCTGCCAATGTTTCACAGGTCTCTGGAGGAGCATGCACACATGATCTTTTAGATGGAGAAGGAACCTGTCTGAGTGCCCCAGAAGAGGGCACCAATGGAAGTGAAAATGGTTCTGCAGCCACTGTTCCTTTACAATGTAAGGGTGCCTTACCAACTCTTGCAATTTATTGATTTCTTCCCCCTGATAGCATTATCCTTTTTCTGTTGAAATTAATTTTAATTCAATCCTTTTCCTGTTGGCAGTCACCGTTATTGGCAAGCGAAGGTTGTCCTTTTCTGCAGGCGATTCCTCTCTGGACAGGAACATACGACATCATGGTGATTTTCTTAATTTTGAGGAATTTGCTCTAATATACCCTCAAGTTTTTGTTTTCTATCTAAAACGAAAATTACTTTGAAGATCAACAAAATTTATCAACTTTCATGTCACTGAAAGTACTGATGCTTGGGTTTTATGAATCAGAAAACTTCATTTCATATATTTTATATGCTTCAGATGAAAAAGCTTGTGAGGATGAAAAGCATGTTCTGAACCTGGAGAAAAAGGAAGCTACTGCAGATGCTCAGCCACAATCTTCCTTGAAGGAGTTGCAAGATAAAGAGAAGGATAGTTTTGCAGTAACACCTGATAATTGCATTGCCGAGGTAACAGGAGAAACTGAAGTTACTATTCGTGGTGACAGTGGTAAACCATCAACTAGAGTGAATAGTTTACTAATGCTTTCTGAAGAGTTCAGTGGTTACAAAGAGATGATTGAAAAAAGAAACTGCAGACTCGATGCTACCATTGATGTGCCTATTAGCAAGTTCCATGGAGCTGCTATGGATATGGTCAGTGGTCGAAACATGGATAGAGAATCAGATGTTGAAAAATTTGAAACTAAGGAAGAAGAATCAGGATGCGCTGTAACAACTGAACATGGTGATGACAGTGGCTCCCAGAAGGTGTCTACAAAGGTAGATGCCAATGTTGACTCTGGTTTCACTCATATAATTTCTGAGGAAAGGGAAGGTTCTGAAGGGAAAACAGTTGATATGATGGGCCATTCTAATGATTTCCATATATCAAGCATAGAGATGGTCAGTGATAAAAATATGACTAGAAACCCGTGTGATCATGTTGTCGGGAAGGAAACTGCAAAGGGTGCTCTCTTATTTGAGCATTGTGACCACAGAGGCAGTGAGGAGGTGGCTGCCAATCTGAATGGCATTGCTGATGCAAGTTTGACTCCAACCATTGAAAAATGTGAAAATAAGGAAGAAGAATCAGGATGCGCAGTAACAACTGAGCATGGTGATGACAGTGGCTCCCAGAAGGTGTCTGCTAAGGTCGATGCCAATGCTGACTCTGGTTTCACTCATGTAATTTCTGAGGAAAGGGAAGGTTCTGAAGGGAAAACAGTTGATATGATGGGCCATTCTAATGATTTCCATATATCAAGCAAAGAGATGGTCAGTGGTAAAAAGATGACTAGAAACCTGTGTGATCATGTTGTCGGGAAGGAAACTGCAAAGGGTGCTCTCTTATTTGAGCTTTGTGACCACCGAAGCAGTAAGGAGGTGGCTGCCAATCTGAATGGCATTGCTGATGGAAGTTTGACCCCAACCATTGAAAACTGTGAAACTAAGGAAGAAGAATCAGGATGCGCAGTAACAACTGAGCATGGTGATGACAGTGGCTCCCAGAAGGTGTCTGCAAAGGTAGATGCCAATGCTGACTCTGGTTTCACTCATATAATTTCTGAGGAAAGGGAAGGTTCTGAAGGGAAAACAGTTGATATGATGGACCATTCTAATGATTTCCACATATCAAGCAAAGAGATGGTCAGTGGTAAAAATATGACTAGAGACCTGTGTGATCATGTTGTCGGGAAGGAAACTGCAAAGGGTGCTCTCTTATTTGAGCTTTGTGACCACAGAAGCAGTGAGGAGGTGGCTACCAATCTGAATGGCATTGCTGATGCAAGTTTGAATCCAAACATTTATAAAGAAATTGAAATTTCTAGGGGAAAGAATGTTGGATGGGGGGAAAACTCTTCTAATAGCAGAAAAAGAACTAACATGTGGACAGATCAAGAAACCGTATCTGTGGGTGATGATTCCAATGCTGACACTGCCTCTGCAGATATCGAGGATAGAGATGATACATCAGATGGAGTTATGGATGCTGAGCTTGAACTTGGAGTTGAGGCTGGTAAATTTGACAACCTCGAAGAATTGAATGCTTTGGAGCGAGAAAGAAGTGCTTCTATAGCTATAGAAAATCGTAACTCTATGGATGTCATAGCTGCATTTACAAAGGAAAATGTTGTAAAGCTGGAGGATGATTTGAAGTTGAAACATTGTAACATTGATGATGAGAAGGAATACAGCATTGTTGCTCTCCCACAGGTTACTCCAAAGGGCATGACAGAGCACTCGGTTGAGGAGGAACTTCATGAGATTAACGAAGGTTGTGAAGTTGTACCAAATGATTCCAGCAAGAAGATTGAAGTTGAAGCAGATGAAGCTCGGTCAGTGGCCATTGGCGGAAAGATTTGTTTCGTGAAAGTTGAAGACTGCAACAATTGGACTGAAAGAACAGCGATTTCTCCACGGATACTTGAAAGTAGCAGAAAAAAGGCCAAGCAAACTTCTTCAGAACAAAAATTATTAGCTGGGTTGTCTTCCGGAACATTCAGAATGGGTTCAAGTACTGATGCTGTCTCAGAGCTGAATGTGCTATTATCTCATGGTATCTGAATTGAATGTTTGGCAATGACGTAGCCAATTTATCTTTTAGTATCTGTCTGTTTGTAGGATGGCAAGTTGGAGCTAATTTTTGTTGTGTCAGATGCAGGAGAAAAATATAAATCTCATCCAATCAGCAATGAAGCAGGAGGAAAGGCAATGGCAGCTAGTGACAAGGGTATGTCTATGGAATAGGTTGTCATAACAGCTTACCAAGTATTCGTAACAGTTCTTAGAATCAGATTAGAGTCTTAAAACTTTTACAGCTTATTGAATAACTACTGAATTCTAGACATTTGTGAAAAATAGTCCAGCATAAAATGCTATTTTCTTTCTTTTACGCCTATCCAATAGTAACTCAGCTATGTATTTAAACTAAAAAGAAAACTCATTATACCTCTGATTGTCTCTCTCCATCACCACTCTTGTCCTGGGTTCCAAGTTCCAAAAAGTGTGCTTTTTTAACACTAAGGGATAGGATCTATTAAAGATTCGTCCTCCATTGCCAAGGGAGTGTTTTTCTGCCTAATTGCAATGGATGTAGTAATAGTAGATTAAAACAAGTAATTTTAGTCTGTTCTTTTCCTTTTAATTTCTCGCAAAGAGCATAATTCCTTATATTTACTCCCAGAGCTTCTCACAGGATCTGATGCATCTGCCTTCACTGACTGGGAAGTGAATTTGATTCAAGGGAACAGAGAACAAGATCAATTCTTGTTCACCGACTGGGAAGCGAATTCGATTCAAGAATCTGATGGGGAAGGTTTGATAGACAATTTGATAAGCAACAATTCTGAGCATGCAGCACGGGTGGAAAAAAATGTTGAAGAAGTCCTGTTCACCGACCGGGAAATGAATTTGATTCAAGGTAGTGGAGAACAAGATCAGGCTGAAGAATCTGATGAAGTAGCCTCCAGAGACAATTTGAAAAGCAACGATCCTTTAGATGAGCATGCAGCAGATGATGCTATTCGTGACTTAAAGGCAGACGACATCTCCTATCCTGACATTCAAGAAACCTGCGAAACAGGATTGGGTGCAATAGACAACGTTGGCATAGCAGCCGCTGAAAAGATGGACATCCTAGAGGAAGTGGGTATTAGAGGGACTTCGCAACCAGTTATTCCAGCTGAGGCATCGCTTGAAACAGCCAAAGGTACGCTACAGAAAGCATTTTTAAGCTGCAGCAAACCGGATGAGAGCACATCTTCAGAACAATTAGTATTTGATGGTACCTCTTGTGGCTTACCTGAAACCATTTCAGTTGGTTCTGTCGTACGAGAAAATGGTCCAGTGGCTTATGGTGAGTGTTTCCACAATTCCACCCAACAATCCTGAAATCCTAATTTTTGTATGTTCACCCAAATGCCTTCAGAAAGGCAAGAGATCTAACATGAGACCCACTGACTTACGGTTACCTCATGACATGGCATTTTTTTCCGCCAATCTTGGATTATGATTATTTTTTCTCTTCCTTTTGTTCTATAGAATTAGCTTCACACATCTGCAAAGAGGCATTCCAGTTTGCATCACGTAGTGTCATAATATTCTCCTAGTAAGGCCTCATGATAACTTCTTTTTTTTTCAATTTTTCTACATCGTTGTGGGACAGAAGGTGGATTTGTACCACAATTATACAGTAACGATATGCATAGTCATGGAGGAGGAGAAACAACTTGCGATCACAGAGGTATGGCTGGTCATTATGTTCTCATTGAACTTAGAATCCATATGTACACAGCACCTAGATTTATCATGATTGTTTTGCAGGGAGCAATCCCCCGGAGCAGGGTGAATTTCACCAAACGGACTACGAAGTTTTAATAGCACATACAGTCGGGGCTGAGGAAGCTAGAGAACCTTTAAATGATGCTACAGGTGATACCAGCCTAGAATCTAATCCAACTGATCCTCAGGAAGTTGCGATAAAGGATGCTAATGAGCCCCCAGATGCAGGCAACGAACCAGCTCTCATGGTTGGTCTTGATTGTGTGCCTCAAAATCAGCAGTCATGTCAGTGTGAGAGAGAGGAACACCCCATAGGGACTGAGGCAGCAGCACATTGCTTGCATAAGCTTGATGATGGTGTTTTCTCCGAGGAGATTGTAGACTTTGGAAATGGCCTTGTTACTTCTCTAATCAATTATCAGAGAGATGTTGATTCCTCAGCTGGTTCTTCAGTCAGTGCATCTCAACATCATATAACAGAAAATGATCCTTGGGAGCTGAATTTATTTTTCGGAGAGAACGAACAATATGAGAATCAAACTTCAGATGGATGGTTCTTGAACTCCAATTTGAGAAACAAAGATGCTAGGATGGTGGAAGCAAATATAGTTGGTACTGAACAAGCCGCTATTCAAGTTGGTGAAGAGCAACATGGTCAACTAGCGCAAGTAATGGATGAGCAAATTGAAGAAGCAAAGCACACGTTCTTCGCTGTTTCAGATGAGCCCCTCTTTGAAGATGCCGAAGCTTCAAAGAAGCAAGATTGTGTTCCTCTCGAGGTTGACAGCATTCAAGATTGTATTAACTGTGAGAATTATGAGAACAAATCTGGGAATACTGAGCATTCTGATAGTCCCGCCGAAAAGGAAATCTTGATAGATGTTGCTGAGTTCAATGCTTGTCATAATGCTGTTTCATCGGAGCAAAGGGTGGAACGCAATCCAAGCTACTCTAAACAACATAATAATGGAAACCTCAGTGTTGAAGATGCTGGAATAACTACGGACTTGAGTGTGGATGTGCCGTCCAAACCAGATGTGGATATATTGGATCAATCTTTTGCAATCACCAATTCAGCTGTTGGTCAAGGTATGCATAAAAACAAGAATCTGTGACTTCGTGTTTTCTTTGTATGCAGTGTTTTAGACCTGATCTCACAAGACATCGTCCAAACACAAAGGACTTAAGATCTTCATATGAATCGTCTTGCAGACATTGCTGTTGGGGATGACGAGACTCGTCAATTGAAGTTGCCATTACCGCAAAAGACAACTTCATATGCCAAAGAAGAAGAAAGCCATAGTTCGGATGCCAAACGGTTAAATACTTCATTGCTTAAGAGGAAGATCAGTAAAACTGGTTTTGTTCAAGCAACTCCCCAGAAGATGGTTACTTGTACCGACATGAAAGAAAACCTGACCAGTAACAAGGGGGAGCAGCATGGTCATATGACAGCACCGAACGCAATATCAAAGAGGAGGGCTCTGGAGAATCTCAGAAACAATTAGATCCCTTCTAGTTTTTGGTCGGTGGTTTTAGGGTTTCACCATCAAATATGAGCATATCTCATGCATCTTTTTTTCTGGCAAATGAATACTCTGTTTTGGTTTCTCAGTATTTAGATTTGCTTTATGTAATCTGTCTCTGCGGACTGATTTCTTGAGAAACGAAATACTTTCTTATTTATGTAATTAAGTTCGAATTTCCTTTCTTTGAATTTGCATGATGGATCCGTTCGTTTATGCAGTCGTTACCTTACGAGTTTGAGATGTTACTCGTTGAAATTTCTCCGTATCCGTAACCCGATATTGTTCCATCATATTATCGCACGACTGGCTTGTGAAAAGTAAAAGATATGTACAGGAAGGTGATTTTTTGCATAGAGCTTGCTTCTGGTATGTTTGTGGCCTCAACCGTATGAAGAACCAGAGATACCTACACAAGAAGTATGGTCACTGTAAACAGAGTCTTACGTGACTTCGATTCAGTCAATGCAAGACCATAACTCCTGCTCAAGACTCAATGACAAAAGGGAAAAAAAAAGAAAAAGAAAGCACTCTGGACGGGAAGATTGCAAGAGCCGTCTTTGAGGCATTTTGAACAGTAAAGCTCTTATCAACAACATATTAATTGAAGACAACAGAATACAAGTTGGAGCCATACATCCCGATCCATTGCTGAAGGGAATTGATGTGAAGTTCTCACAACAAAAAGGAGATTTTGAAATCCATCATTAGAAGGGTACATAAATTATATCAAAATAACACATGTTCTCTCATATTACAAACAGATCTTATGATCAACAAAAAAAAAAAAAAAGAAGAAGGGAAAAATCCACATGTATCAAATGAATTAAAGAAAACTAGACAAAACAAATGACAGTATGTCAGTCCTTTGTATCTACACACACCCCCACTACAATTTTCTTTCCAAACTTATTGCGAGGAATCATGCTTTGACAAGGGATGTCTTTTATCTTTGATAAAAATCGTAGCACGCTTATGCACTCCTAAGACCACCTTTCTACATTTGACTCAAAACCATTAAACCTTCTACATCATGTATCTTAATCACAATTCAACCCACAAACTTCTAAAACAATGCCACCTTTTGACACAAATGGGTTGACTCGAACCCATAAGAGTGTTAAAACAGAAGCTAGAAGTATCGCCCAAACAACAATAATGGTGGGAAGCCTGTCTTGTTTCCCTATCAACCCCTTAAGGAATGGGTAGAGGTGGACAATAACCCACAATGCAAAGAATAGCTTACCAAAGAGTGGACCCCAAGTCTCGTAACCATTATTGATGGCATCAGAAATTCCAACTACGACTCCAATAATGTTTATGATAAGCAAAGTCATAGGAGGGATCAATAAAGATGTCCATTTGAATAGGTAGAGCTCTGAAAATTCTCCATCATCTGCCCCTTTGGAGGTAACAGTGAAATTGGTGTTAACTCCAGCCAATACCTTCAGAAGACCCTGGAAAAGGGCAAATAGATGTGATGAAGCACCACCAATGACCCAGAACTGCTCATTTCTCCACCAGTCATGTATGCCAACTCCTCCCCACTGCATTTCTAGGATACCAGTTGCAGCGATGGATATGAACAGAGCCATGAAAATGATACTGGCATAATTGCTAATCTGTAAACCACATGAAAACAAGATTTAGAAGAAAGCCTTGCAACTAAAACAATATTAATACATTTATTTGAGAAAGATACGGGAAAAGAAATTACCGCAGGAACAATGAATTTCCCAGTAAGTAGACAGACAGCAGGCAAGGTACAGTAAGCAATCAAGGGGATAGATGTCAAGGGATAAACAACAGAGTTTATATAAGAGAAGCGTTCCAACCATTTCAATCCGCATCCATATCCATACCATATTGGACAGTGTCTACTGAAAAAGATCTCAACAGATCCCAAAGCCCATCGGAGCACCTGGTGTAGACGATCAGAAAGGTTTATTGGCGCTGAACCTTTAAATGCAGGTTTTTTTGGAATGCAATACACTGATCGCCAGCCATGGCAATGCATCTTGAAGCCAGTTAAAATATCCTCAGTGACAGAGCCATAAATCCACCCAATCTAGAACATCATTACAAAGACAACAGGAAAGTCAAATGTTGATTCTCCTCAAAAAGGAAGCCCTGTTAGCTAAATTTTAAGTTTGGAATATTCACAGCATTGCATACCTCTTTTCCCCACTCAGTTTTATCTTCATAACCACAACTAATGACATGAATGGCCTCTTTCAAAAGTGATGCAGAACTTGCCCCTTTGGGAACTCCACCATCATCCACAAGTGTAGAGGCTATGAAAACTGATGACTGTCCAAATTTTTTCTCAAATTTTATCTGGGGCATCAAGGCTGATTTTTCATTATCTATTCCTGCAATCAAAGTTTGATAATTACAGCAATGATTAGGACTTTTTACAGTCTAATGCAAGCAAAGAACAACACCATCTATTATTTAAAAAAGACGAGGGACTAATTTGAACTGCTACTGGAAGTTGAGAAAGTATAATATCCAATTTACGACTCACAGAGTGGAGATGATTTAATCCTGTGATATGTTCAAATTGATATTTAACTCCACAAAACAATTAAGTGTTATTCTTACCTTCAATACCTTCTTCAATATTTTCTAATGCATGTATCTGTTTAGAAGCCTCCTTGTTCTTCTTTTTTTCATTTGTTTTTGATTTCTTATTTTTCTTTCTAGATCGGCAACAACAAGTGCACCATTTTGGCCAGCAATTGCATGTCCTTCCTGGGGGCTTCTTCTTGACAGGGGCATCATATCCATAAAGAGCTTGCCTCCTGAAGACGCATCCAGTCCCAACATATATAGGTCCTTGTATGCCATCCAGTCCTTTCATATTGATCTGCATTGAAAAAAATGGGATGAGCTTATCAAGAAAAAGAAAGCCCATGTGTGTATCAAATCACCGTTACCAAGACTTTTACGTACATCAAAGAATACGACGTTGCGATTTGAGTATCTATCATGACGGTCAATACCATCAAACCTTTGAGGAAATTGAACATAACAAATTTTCTTTCCAGATGTTGGGTCCATCATGAAGCACATGGCTTCGCGAAGTGCCTTACTGTTGTTTATATAGTGATCACAATCAACATTCAGCAAGTAAGGAGCATTTGATATGATTGCAGAGACCCTCATCTGCATTTACCGGCCAACACAAAATGTTAGAGAGTGGGAAACACTGACAAAATACCAAAATAGTTTTTGTGCGTGCGAGAGAGACAGTTTTACCAAAGCATTCATAGCCCCAGCTTTTTTGTGGTGATCAAATCCCGGTCTCTTCTCACGAGACACGTAAACTAGACGAGGTAATTCATTTCCTTCAACATCATGAACTCCATTATGACCAAGGAAAACCTGGAGGATAGGAAGCATTAGATTTATGTGAAACATCTCTAACTAAGGTGAGGTGGATGTGTGGCATCTGACTGCACACTCATAAATCCATTCAAACAACATTTTTAACCTGAATCATTCCAGGATGATCTCTGACATTATTCCCCGGCCATGGGGTGCCATCCTGCATTGTCCAACCGTCCTCAGGAACCTTCTGCGCCATGGCTACTAACCCATTTATTCGAACTTTGAACTCTTCATATTCTCTCTGGTACCAACAAAGAACAACAAAAAACCATAATGTCATTTGCTTAAAGGAACCCAAAGTTTTTTTTTTTTTTTTCATGATGTGGATATCATTATTGTGGTCACAATAATTTCAACAAAACGAGTTTGGCTTTCATTTTATTAATTGAATGAAAAGGCAAGCTTCTTTCCCTGTCATATTTTATGAATTTTCAGTGCCACCATTTCTTTCATGTGTGAGACTAAGACAAAGATCGAATAATAGCATAAACAAATAAAAAAGATGAGCCACAAACCTTCATGGCACGACGCTCCCTGATAAATGCCGGATCTACTTTGTCTTTCAAATAGTCAACCTTCAGAGCAAAATACCATTCTGGAGCCCGAGGTTCAATGCTGAATCTCTTGCAGAAAGGGACCCACTTTCTTGCAAATTCGGATGTCTCAGAGAGAGCTTCGAAAGTAAGCATGGCCGCGCCATCATCTGAGACATAGCACGCGACTTTGTCGACTGGATAATCTACAGCAAGGATCGACAAGACTGTGTTTGCAGTGATAAGTGGAGGTTCTTTCATAGGATCCACTGTACTAACATATACATCTACACTCGCTAACTCAGATGGCTTCCCCTCTTTCTCATACCTACAAAACCAGTAAAAGTAGAACTTGAGATTTCTGAGAATAAGAACCACAATATGAGTGTGTGTGTGTGTGAGAGAGAGAGAGAGAGGGAGGGAGAGAGAGCACCTCAATGATAATCTATCAAGATATGTTTCTCGCTCAATTGGATACCATTTTGGAAACTGATCTAATATCCATGATACAGCAAACCATATTTCACAAATTACTGATGTAAGCCACAATCCATAAGCATCGTTGACTGGATGAAGAATTCTATAGTGAAAAAAGAGGCCGAGAATCACAAGCCTGAGTATAATGATCAATCTGTATGGACTAATCTTGCTTGAAGAAATTGGTAATTTCCTTGAAAGAGGCTGCCTTCCTTCATCCATCCTACCAAATCATGGTAGACAATTAGTTTTTCTAATCCAAACTTTAGAAACAGCAAGTGACAGAATAAACAGGACTGCATGGACCTTTGCTTACTAAATTGTTTAAAACCTAAAGTTTCTAAGTATCATACTTGAACAATAAAACACAAAATACTGGACATAAAAAACAGAAATGTGCCTAATTATAGTTTTTAGAAACAAAGTATCTATTTTCATATGCTTAGCAAATGCACAGGAACATCCATGCTTGGATTTTATTGAGTATAAAACCAACTGCAGTTTTACAAAGCTGCAACGCTAGCAGATGAAGCTATAACCAAGATATGGTTGACTAATACAAAATCACAAAACAGCAATATCTTCACAGTAACAAACTTTTCGCAAGGACATATCACTATTCAGATAAACTTATCGCATTTTTTTTTAGAATGTAATTAAATTAAATGTTTCCTAAAGGCAATAGAAATTCCAATCAATAACTTCTGTTCACATTTAATATCTGATTAAAACAATGCAATTATATTAGAACACAAACCTAGTTCTTCTCTCTGGAAGAAAATGCAATGAAATTCTACATAACAACAAACGTTCTTATTTTCATAGCAACTGCAAAATTTTAGTAATTAAATAACTGCTGGAATAATAATCTTAACAATTGAGGTTGCTGGCTAGACTATCTGAAGCAACCAAATCCTAGAGCAAATCAAGAAACAGTATCCTTACTCAAGATAAAACAAAGGGGATTTGATAGGCTAGAGAAAAAAATAATCAAGCTTTTGAGAGTAAAAGAGTAAGGTAACACTCCGCAGAGCGAAAATTTGTCAGTATGTGCACTTACATAGGCAAATCAGGATCATCAAATTCATCTCCACCATTTTTTTCAGCACCCTTTCCTACTTGGTGCTTGACCACCTGAAGTTTATCACCTTGCTTTTTCTTCCACTCCTCCATTCTTTCCTTCCATGCAACTGTTCCATACCCATAGACTGCCAAGTCTTTCTTAGGATCCATAGGCCTTGGTGGCACTGCAGCATCAACACAAGTAAACACACACTAAGCTAAGATGAGGCAAAAATCTAAACAGCGTAAAAGTCATGATGGATTCAGAAAAGTTATACACATCAGTTTAACTAACTTACAAGACATGGAAGAATCAGGAAATGGCATCGGGTGAATCCGTTTCCCACGAAATGGGGGTATAATAAGGGCATGCTTATCAGAAGAGATCCCAACATCCTACACCAAAAAAGCCAGTCTCATCAAATGAACACCAAATTAGTAAAAACTTTGGCTTAACAAAAACAAGATACATAGTAAAAGATTGAAGAGTAAAATCAGAACAATCAAATCCACCTCTTCACCATAGGTCAGAAGAGGAATTTCAGGAGCAATGGAAGCAGAGTCGAACTCAGATGGTGTAGCAAACCCAGAAACATTAGCTTGGGAACCACGGCCAGTGTTGAGGCGAGCAGAGAGCAGCGCTTCAGCAACCTGGTGAGGGTCTCTCCTGTAGTTGACTCCAATATCAAATTCATTCTCCAAATCATCCGTATCCTCCTCTTCCTCATCTCCGTCAACTCTAGGACTCCCTGCAATGGATCGCATTTTTCAGTTATTGTTGAACTGACATCAAAATGTCATCAAGGATTTTCAACAAATAAAGCATAAAACGGTTAGTATAACAAAGCAAGTGAAAGGCTAACCTTTGATACGCTTGTATCTGGTTCGGCATTGAGGGCAGGCTTGGTTGCCCTCTCTTCTTTCGTACTCATAGCAAGGTCTACACACAGGGAATGCGCATTCATTGCAAGCAACAAATGGCTCCCCATCTACTGTGACCTCTATCTCATCCCCACAGATCTTGCAAATCTGCCCACTTAATTCTTTAACAGAGGTGACCTGGAATTGATAAGAGTCACAAAATTAAATCTATAACCAGATCATGGAGCCCCAGAGGTTAGTGATGGGAAGATTACAGGAGTTTATGAAATTTTAATTATTCATATCGCTAAAAAAAAAATACTGGCAAAATGTACTGATGGGGAATCAAAGTCGCAAACTTTCATGCAACAGTTTCATTGACTGGCTCTGAAATCTAGAGCTAAGAGGGAAAAAACCAGGAGATAATTAATGAAAACTGTTTATAAAATACATTACCGCAGTGCACAAGAAAAGATATTTAAGACAAAGCACATTTTGCAATACTATGATAGTCTAAGGAAATCAATAAATTAAGCATGAGTAGTGTGCTTAAAAATTCCTCAAAAAAGGAAAAAAAATAGTATGCTTAAAAATCTTACAACTATACAATAGAAAAAGAAAAACCATTAGAATCACTATACAACTTAAAAACCAACTGGGATCGCTGAACTTTGCACAAAACCAGTTGTCAAAATCAAAAGTACTGAAGAATGGGCTAATGGGTGTGTTCAAAATGCAGAAATGGAGTCATAAGACGACTTCAAATACCAAGAAACGGGGTTTTTTAGGCCCAATTTCTTTAAATCCACAAAAAACTAAAAAGAGGGGGTTGGGAATCCAAGCAGCACTTACTCTTGCAATTTCATCAGCATTGATTAGAACAAACTCATTTCTATTGTGAGAGCCAGCAATGAGTCTCCCTTTGGTCTCCATTTAAAGTTTACAACTCAAGAAAAAACCCCTTAAATCTCAACTCACAATATCACTCTCTCCCCCTCTCTTTGTTTCTCATCACTTAAAAACCCACAAAACTCAAAACTTCAGTTCTTCTTCTCTCTCTCTCTCTCTGAACTTTCAGTTTCAGCCCGCTCTCTCAGCCTCCCGGTACAATAGAACACCACATTATAGTACTACCATGTGAGAGAGGGGAAATAAATATAGAAGGAGAGAGAATTTCAGAAGTGTCAATTGCAATAAAATATTATAAAGAGAAATTAGCAAAAAAGATTTGAGTTTTTTTTTCCTCCTCTTTTTTTTTTTTGTTTGGTTATGTTGCTGGTTGATTCTTTTCTTCACGGACCACCCAGCTGGGCTCTCTCTGTTAAACTGGCTGGTCTTGATCTGTGACGCCACTTTGCTTTCCAAAAATAATTATATAGACAAAATGCAATTTTTTAGAGAGAGAAAAATATTTTATAGTGTCAAGTAAAGAAGAGAGAGAGAGAGAGAGAGAGAGTACAGAAAGGAAAATTCAACGCGTAATACAGAAGAGACGAGATAGAGATACAGACAATAAAAAAGATCAGGTTAACGTATTGATCTACATGTGTGTGTCGGTCGGTTTGTCTACCTCTACCGTATGTGTATGTGTATTATTATTTGCTTTACGTTTTTGCATCTGTGGGTTTTATGTAATGAAGAAAATGGGTTAAAGCGGTTCTAGGTGGGCCCATTATTTTTTATGGCAGAGAGGGGTGATTGTGTTAGTGGTGGTGGTGGTGGGGCCAAGGGTTGTGCCCCACCGGAGCTGCTTTGATGATAGTGGTGAAAGGGTGTTTTTCGTAATTTGCTATGTCTCTCTTGGCTTTCTCTGCTTTGCTAAGTTTGCGAAGTAGTGATGATGTGTTATGATGTGTCCTCCCCAGTCATCTCGTTACAGCTTTGGTGCTGTTGTCAATTGCTATTTTGTCAAATGAGAGAGAAGTGTTTTTTTTTCCAGAGGGCGTAGATAATATTGTATTTCTTTTCTTAATTCATTATTGGTTATAAAATGAGAATAACTTATTACTCCAATGAATTGGTTAGAAGCTCGAAAAAAATATTGATCTTTCGTTTGAGTCTTGCTATTAATACTTTTATAAAATGATATATTTACATTCAATTAGTTCCATTCTTAAAAAACGATAAATTTAGATAAATAAAAATAGATTCTTAAAAAACGACAAATTTAGATAAATAAAAATGAATGTTTGGATATTTTTTTAGATATATATATAGAGAGAAAGGGTATGCATGTTCAATATTCTTTCTAATATTTACAACTCAATTTATAAACTTATTTTTATTGACCAAAGATGCACCAATTCAAATACTATGTCTTCGTTTCAAAAATAAATCAATCGTCTTGCTTGGTTATCATGTCAATTTTGAACTTTGAAACCTAACAAATTTTTGGATGTTAAAAAAAAATGATAAATTTTAGTAAATATATAAATATAAATGATCTTAATATATTTTATGTAAAAACAATACACACACATATATATAAGTGTATTTTTCATTTTTTTTAACACAGTTTGATATTTAAGTGTAGGGTCTCGAGTTTAAAAATTGATCACCAAACTTATAATTCAATCATAGTTATATATTTTTAGAGTATCCTATTTGTCAATCCATTGTTTCAAAAAAAAAAAAAAAAAAAAAACTCCTGGGTTTGATTATTTATTTTTTCTAGGAATTTGCGAATTTTAATGCAAATGATGGACACTTCACTGGGTCGGAGAACAATTCTAGTCTCCACATAACCATAATTTAAAACATCAAACTAAGAACCGAAGTATTTCAAAAAAAAATACTACAAATATTTAAAAACAAAAGCACCTTGCAGCCATGTGGCGTTCTCGCCCCTCTAGTACTATGACCAAAATAGCCTCACACTTCTCCCTTCCCCTTTCTCGTTTCTAGCAGTTGTTGGGCAGGGTACGTTTTTATTTTTTATTGTTTTCTTTAAAACAGAAAAAGGATTAGTCTTCGATGCAAGTGATTAAAAAATTTGACCCAACTCGTAATACCTGCAGATTGAAGGGATAATTATTGATTAAATTAAATGACAATGATAGATAAAAAGTTACACTATTTGTCCACTCTTTTCTTTTTATCTTCCGGCAAATTAGATGTTTACCTTGTTAGCGAAGAAAAGTAAGCGTGGTCTCGTTGTGTTGATGCTCATTGGTATAAATGCTTTTTATTCCGTCATGGAAATCAGCCTTGTATGCAACGTGGTTCTTAAAAGTTTGTACCATTATTTCACAATTTTATGGTTCTAACTTCTGTTTAAAAGGGTATTTGGGTTCGCAACAGAAGGAATACACCCAATTGATTGTCTTTACGGAAGTAAATGTCGTCAATTAATGCGTTCAATGTTAGGTAATGGAAGCTGTTGTTGCAGCCCACGTGGCTGACTGCCCAATTAGCATGATTTTTATTTTTATTTTTTCCTGCAGGAAGGATCAAAGGATGCTGTGTTATTTTATATTGAATAGCCTTCCTCATTGCATTCGATATCTTAACTTGTTGTTAGTATAAATTCTTAAAATGACAATTGTATCGAGAATGGGCTGGATCTTGTAAGATAAAAAATAAAAATAAAAAGATTGATCTTGTTGGTAGTATAAACTATTAAATTGACAGTTATATATGAGGAACCTATATAAAACCTCCTGGTCACCCCAACTAGCCCGGATTAATGATTCTAAAATACGAGGGGATGTTTTGATAATAATAATAAAAAAAAATGTGTTTCTTCCTAAGTCGTCAAGGGTTTGGATCTCGAATTAGATTTGTAATAAGTAAAAAAGTTTCACGAATCTCCTAATTGCAGCATTGATAACTTGCATTTAACCGGATTCAAAAAATTAACTTAGTTTCTATGGATGAAATTTGACCCAATAATATCCCTAATTGAAAAAAAAATCCTAATGATAGAGGTTTTTCAATTAAAAAAAAAAGATTTTTTATTTTCTAGTTGTAAATCATGTTAAGTTATAGAGAATTATTTTGATGGAAGCTCATAATATAAAATATTATACACACCGCAGTTTCGTTAGCTCATTAAAGAGTAAGGTTCAAGATGGCAGTGCTCTTTGTGAGGACTCGGGGTGTAACATCCGAAAGGTTTGTAAAATATTAAACAATATATATAGGGACGTTAGACTTACGTATATAAAATTCTAATTATTCACATTATAAATAAAGATAATATCACTTTTATTTGTAATCATCGTTTAATAAAATCTAATAAAAAATCCTAATGTAGCCGAATAATAAGTACAATTATGGAATTACAAAAATCTTTCGTGTAATGTGATTGTTTTTATTTTTCTATTATATTCTTTACTTGATTGGTTTTCTAACAAATCATGGTTTCCTAAAAACATAATAAAACGTGGAGCACACCCAAATCATTTACCTAATGCCAATGCTCTATTTTTCAGTCAGCTTTATAATTGGTCAGGTTAGGTAGTTAAGCTATCTCTTTTCACCATCTCCTAATTGTTATTTCTTCTTCCAAAATGGACTTAAATCCACATTAAAATATCTGTATAAATTAAGTGTGTTTCGGTAGGTTGATCATCTTACATACCGTTTCTTTTAATTATCTAATTAATCTTCAGCGTGCAAATTGAGATGCCAGAATTGATATCCCAACAGAACACAAGATAACAAATGTATTTTCTTTGTTAAAACTTTGGACCAAAACAGATCGTTAACGTTTTCTTGCACTGAACCAGTGTCGGTCGTGATATAAATATTTCACCTTAACTACTCAAGTGTAACACGTCATATAATCCCATTTTTTTTCTCAGAAAGGGACCGAGCAACGGTTGCTTACGGGAAAAAAAAAAAAAAAGCAAATTAATTTTGTCAATGCAGCATGTATGTACATGCGTATAAAGATAATCGGATTGCTAAATCAAATGGACCCAATAACGAGTGGTTGTAACACTTTGCGCTAAAAGAAATATTCGAGACCAGAAAATTTAAACCATTTTCAATATATATTGCACGTTTACAAGAATCTGACGGGAATTTTACAGATATCTGTGTTCCCGATGCATCACATGCGTATAGTTTTTTTCTTTTGAAGAGATCGTGAAAATTTTTAGAAACGGGTTAGGGCAAGCTTTGCAAGTGGGTCAAGTAGCATGGATGCTTCTTTAACAGGTATCCTGTCAATGTAGTATTCTGTATTAATTGCGCGAACCAACCACATCTGAGACCATCGCTGTCGGACATAAATAATTTTGCAGAAATCTCCTGCTTCTGTTTGCACAGATCAAAATTATTGCAAGATCATGAATTACTTCATCATAAAATCCTAATTTATAGCACATTACACGCTGTCAAATTGTCATAAATTCCACATCGGACTGGTTGGTGAGTTACGGCATCTCTGCCTAAAGAGGAGTTCCTGAGCATCCATAAATCTCGACCGAGAGTACAGATCAGGCTCAAATGATTAATCAGGAAAAATCTCATGGCCAGGATTTGTGACCGGGGAAGTGTCGGTGGTTGTTCTTATTTAAGCATGCCGACTCGCTAACCTGGTACTCAGCCGTCAGCACTCGACTAGGAAAATATATACTTTTAACATTTATTAGACAAACATATTTTAACAGATTAAGCAATGATTGTGTGCACTAATGTTTCATGTTTTGGCCTGTCATGGGGTGTAAATTTGATTAAAAAAAATAAAATAAAGGAACTACATATAAATTTACGTATGGTTCTCATTGCAGATAAGATTTCCTTGTCAGGATGTCAATTGGCTTTGGCAGTGACTTAGGTTGTGAAAGAAATCTTCTCAATTATGAGCAAAATTTTTAACCAATGACTACATCTTATATATTCTAGTAGTGTCCAAGTGCAACAGTTGTGAGCGCCAGCTAGAACTACTGTTAGTCCATGAAGCACCGACAAATTCCTCTGTATGA